CTGCTTGCACAATGGCTGCTTGCAGATTTCTATGTGAAATGTTCCTTTAAAGTTGTGAGATTTGGAATTCAGCAAGTTTTATGCAGATTTGTCAATGGCTGATTCATAAATGTTTAGCTAACACACAGCAATGCTTCATCGAGAGGCCATTCTATTCTGCAAAATCTTTAATGCTTTGTAGTTTTACAACATGGAGACAAGGTTTTGTTCATTCATTTTATCTATTCTTTCCATGCAGACTCCATCTACACGTAAGTTGCATTGGTAGGACATTAATGTGTATTTTTCCCCCCTTAGTTTTGGATAGAGCAGTGAAAGGTTAGAACCCCTGTCAGGTTTCGTACTGATATCTGGGGCTCTGTTAGAGAGATTTACCCTCACTTAATTTCCTGATGACAACCTTTCATCAGGAAATGAGAGGAAATGAGGGGAACTTTCTAACAGCAATATAGAACAAAATAGAGAAGAGAAAGGCTAGAACCCCTATTAGATTTTTATTTTTGCCTATGTCCTTGATGCATATTTTCCCTCACTTCCTGTCTGGTGAAACCACTGCCAGCAGGAGAGGAAGCAAGGATAAATCTCTCAAACAGAGCCCCAGATAGCTCTAAAAACTCAACAATAGCTCTAATCCTTCCCAACTCTATCCAAAACTAGAAACAATTTTTTGGCTTTCCATACGCTTTAACAGTGTCTGCACTGAGAGCCCTGATGAGCAAGGATAATAATTATTGCCTTAGTAAACCTTTGCATAAAATGACAGTCAAGTCCTCCTCAAATAGTGACAAGCTGAGTGTTTATACCTCAGAACATGGAACAAGAGCTAAGCTGGCCAAAGTAACAAATGGGAGCAGAAGACCCGGACATGCAATTTTGTGTCTTCCAAGTGTGCTTTACTCAGCGCTCATCCCACAGTACTGTTCATGACACAGGGAAACCATAGTATACCACCCAGAAAAATTCAAGATATTCACACTTATTAGATGACTTCTTTGTCAACACATGTGATAATTAAAAAAATCTCAAAAACAACTGCTAAAGATAAAACTGGCTGGAATGGAAATTTTGTCCCCATTGTTTCCAAGATAAGACTGGCTGTGGTTCATAGGTCTACAGGTACCCTAAAAATGGTAGATCATTTAATTAGATATGTGCATTGTCATTGTTAACATACACACAAATGTCTCATTGATAATGTAGCCTTTATAAAGATGAGGAATTCTTTCTTTCTTAACCTGCAGTAGGAGACTAACATAGACATATATCAAAATATACGTCCTTCGGAGTAGATTTAAAAAAAAATTCACCTCTATTAAATTCTATGCTAGAGGTATGCAATGCATGGTTAAGACCCTTAATGTTGTCCCAGAAGCCACAGATTTCCAGACAGCAAAATATAAGTAGTGTATGCTAGGCTTTCAGTTTGGACTTTCAGTTTGGACTTGACGAGAACTGTGCAATGTTCACCTATGAGAGGCTGTCTACGTCTACACACAGTTTAAATACCAAGAGGAGAGGCATGAGTGAGCTGAAAGTGAATAATGCAGGAACAGTACCTTTGCCTCAGTGGAGTGTGTTCTTTTGCATTTTATAAAGGCATTGGCGGAGGGGGGGGGGGGGGCATGTTGATATTTACCCAGCCTGCCAGTCAATCAAAGACAAGGTTGTTCTGTAAGCAGGTACCGAGGCACCCTACCAGTCTGGCAAGATACAACTGCTCTTTCATGGTACCTCTCTGACAAAATGGCATCACACTTTCCATTAGCAGCAGGACATGGATAGGATTGTACTGAAACTCTACTATTGCTTAAACTGTTATGCAGAATGACAGTAGGGCTCCCACCAGCTTTACAGCAAAATGCTGTTTTTTGGGCAACATGGTAATACTGCACTCCTTGTTCTGCTTGCATGGTTTCAACATGGCATTGTTTCTGACGCAGATAAAAAGGCTATAATTCTACGATAATGCATGACATCAATTAGTGCCCATTTTTCCCTTTTTTTATAGTTCTCCATAGGGTAACGGGATGACACAAACTAGTGTCCTCCCGTCACCCTAAGCTCAGTATACCACGAGCTACAGCTCGCGGTATACTGAGACGCCGCAGCCGGAGCGGATCCCGACATCGATGTCGAGATCCGCCCAGCTGCGTGAGTGACAGCTGGCTCTGCCTATCTAGAGGCAGAGCCAGCTGTACCCGCCCCCTCCCCCGTCCGTTCCGCCAGTCAGCGCTGGCGGATCGTAGCGGGGAGGGGGGAATCCATCCCCTCCCCTGTCACGGCAGAGAGACACCGGCGTGTGTTCGCTTACCTCCCGATCTACTGAGCCGTCCTGTGACAGTCTCATTGTCACAGGTCGGCTAGAACTATGAGGTGAGTGAAAAGCATTCACCTCATAGTTCTCATTTAAAGTCCACTGCATATGATTGGGAGTTCACTACCTGAACATTTTCCAATACTCTAGTAAATCAACCAGTGTGTGCATATTAATATACCAAAGGGCCTACTGTTTGACAATTTCTTTCTCTGTAACAAAAAGGACTATTTTTGATATGTGTGCATAGGGAAGGGAGAGGTGCACCTTGCAAACTAAGGCTAGCCAAGAAGAATTCTACTATGTGTGCTGTACTACAGATATGTAGAACACAGTTGGTAAGTAAGACTCATTTCTATACTAATACATTTAACATCTAGTGACCCTGTGCATAACTCTTTTCTCATGTTATAAAAGTGCAGAGCATTCTGATCTGTTCTAAGAACACAGTTGATCTATAGGCAGTGGATGTTATGTTCTATTCATTTTACATAGCAAGAACTTCCTGTATGCACAGTGTGTACAGTCTGTTTACAGAACACCAGTAATAAATAGCATGGAACAAGTACATAATGCGTTGGTATCAATAGGATTTTATCACAAATAATTCATTTTTAGATACACAAGAATGCATTAGTTTGCATATATATTTTAGAATAAAGTACGTTGAAAATGAGAAGAACAGTACTTTATCAGTTCTTTAACATTTATTTGCTAAAATCTATTTCTCATTTAAAATGTAGCACTACAAATGCAGTGCATACTGTGTTACTAGTCATTGATGCATTTAAACTGGATGTCTCCTTATTTTGGCCATCTTCCCATACATGCTCTGTTAATGGTAGAAGCAAATGCCATGTCTTTTTTGCAGATTTTTATGTAACAAGTCTAGAATGTAATTTTCATTTTACAAATTAAATCAGTCTTGCCGTCTGTTTTTCTGTCATTGCATTAGAGGGCACACAGGCACAATTCTTGCTCTTATTTTAATCTGTAAATGGATTACTCTAATATATAGTTTTATAGAAATGCTCCAGGCTAAATAATAATGTGGAGTAGTTCATGGGGGATGAAAAGCAAGTTTTACTTAGCTTTGTCCCCCATTTCAAAAGCTAGTTTTTCTGAAGGTCTTGTATTTCCTTGTCCAGGTGTTGGTCAGCTGATGTCTATGTATTTGTGGCACAATGATGTCCACATCAGAGGCTAAAATATGTCATTGACTGTAACAGGATCTAGATCTGGACAATGAAATGCTTTCTGGATCTTCAGCAAAACAAAATACTAGAATCACTTTCTGTTTTGTTGACAATTGAGGAGTGAATCTTCCCAGACACAGACAGCTATAAACTTGACAGGGGTCTAGCCCCACCCCACTCTTACCAAAACTATTTAAAAAAATTGCCTTTATATAAACTTTAACTCATTACCCCGTCATCTGCTTCCAATCCATATTCTCCTATGGCTCGGGCCACCCAAAACTAAAATGCCAGTTTTTGGTAGATGAGGGAGAGTTAAATGATCTGGCAATTTCTTATATCTTTCAAGGATTTTGACTGCGCTTCTGGGTCTCCCTACAATGCAACCTCCCGTGGCTATCATTAAAGGCGTTAACACACCTGCTGTTAGATTTTTTAATTAATTTTATATTTTGGAGAATACAAAAGAAGCTTCTAAAACACACCCACATTGAAAGTAACAGAGTTGGGAGATATGGCAGGAAGATCTCGCTCTTGGAGTATCTAAGGCATTTAAAAAGTCTGTGACCCACCAGGGTCCATCTGTGACTATAATATCACAGTTGGGTTGACTGACCCTTTAGTGTTTTTTTCACTTGAAAATAGACATTAGATGACATTCTTCCAATATGGAATTTTTTTGCTGGTTTGAATGATGATATAATGCCTATGGGGCACCCAAAGCCAAGACGTCTTAGGGGAAAAGTGACTAGTCAAGGTAAAAAAATTGTGTGATCACTACTGTTTGTTACCTGGTAAGCTGGAGAGAAGAGGGTTGATTTACTAAAGGCAAATGGGCTGTTCACTATGCAAGGGAATTTGCACTTTGCAGGTACATTTCCTTTTAGCTTAGTGAATGAGGTGAAGCTCTGTTGACTTCCATCACCAAATCATTTTATTTTCCTTGCACATGATTGGGCATTCTTTCACTACATTCGCCAAGCTAGTGAAAACCTCCCTGCACCTTCCCTTGCAAAGTTAATAGCCTATTTACCTTAAGTAAATCAACCCCCATAGTGTCCTCCCACACTTCTATGCATAGACTAAACATGAACAGTTGCCTGACCATTAGTGTTTACGGACCTAGCAGCCATTACATATGCCTGAGTGTAATCAGACCAGCCTTTACTATCTATGTCCAGGGTTAGTCCATGATCAGCAGAACATAGGCTGCCTTCATGGTCACGCTAAAATGTTTATACATAGTTAATTGCTAACAAACATATTGTGCTGCCCTGTTTAAATAACATAGTACACACGGAATACCCTTTGTTTATAGTTCTGAATTCAAAACATATAAAACACCCAACTCCCATTTGAATTATGATTACTGACCCTGTCAAAAGTACAAATATTTGCAAAAAAGTATTTCAGAGATTACTAGATATAGAGTTAATACTGAGGGTTAAGAAAGGGGAAATTATTAATGGGAGAGATGTAGAAAAACTTACCTGGCATTAATGAGGTACTGTGCTAAGCTGATATTTGCTGGAGATCCTGTGATTGTGACTTGTCTTTCGCCATTGCCTTCTGAAGCATTTGCAATCTTGATCTGTGCCCCTGACATCTGCCTGATTTCGTTAATCTTGCTGCCTTGTCGGCCAATAATGCAGCCTATTAGCTGAAAGCCAGAAACATTCTTTCATCAAGATATTGCAATACCAAACCGATTAAAGAATACACTAACAACCAAGAGTACAATACTACTAGTTATCCATTTTTGAAGCTGGGAGGGCTGCTAGTATGCACATTAGATAATCCCTTACCCAATAAAACCAAAATGTTGTCTTGTCCCATTCTGCATAGGTGCTGGTTGCATCTATTGTCTTTAATGGGCTGGCAATAATCTATCACTCTTCTATCTAAAGGGCAACCCATTATTGTAATATAAACAAACCTGTGCAGTACGATAGATATGATTTCAGATATTGATGTACATAAAGTCAAACTAGAGTTTGGTGAGATTTTACATATTATTTTATTTGCAATTTAAGCATGACTGTTGGAGGCATGGAGTAGAGAAAATGTTTGTTTCCCAAAGAAAGGAATTACATTTTCGTGAAAATGTACCGTATTTGAGATGTGGTATGTACTGTATATATACATAAATCCATACACAACATTTGTAATTTATGTAGGTTCTGTTGGAGAGTGTAAATTATTTTAGATTGTAAGCTCTCAAAAACAGGGCCCTCCTAACCATCTTATCTTTATATTGTAAAGCACTGCGTAAACTGTTGGTGCTATATAAATACTATATAGTAATACATGCTGTATAATAATTCAGGTAATCGAAAACAACCATTACATTTCAGTTTAGAGCAGATAATTAGATGATTTCTGTTGTACCAGGTAATAAGTCAAAAAGATCCTCTAGATTAGAAGCACAGCAGAGTGTACTGCAACAATCAGATTGGAAACAACAGATTTCATATCTGAGTTATACAGAACCTGCTTGAATACAGTCTCATTATAGTAGTAAGTCAGTCAGTGAGGTTAAAGGTAGACTCTAATCTCCGTAAAAGGCACCAGAGTGTGATAAGAGATTCTGTGAAAGAATTGCTCCATTAATTGTGCACAGACTGACACAAATTCAGACATGAATACCAGAGGCCTGAAAAGCTGCTGATCAAGGACAACTTGATAGAAACCCCTAGATCCCTAGATCCAGGTTACAGGCATCCGTTCCTCCTGGGGACACCAGTAAATCATCTTACAAAACTGTAGGATAGTGGACGAGCAGCAGGACTGTCCTCTGAGCATCTCTTAAATGGCAGGTTGCATCATTTATCTGTAAGCAACTAGGCCTAAAGTAAGACAAGGCCTCGCATACTCACGAACCCAAGCAGTTGGTTCTGTTGTTTAGAGTTGTAGGTGGCCAGAGGTGATCAAGTCATTGAAGAGTGGATAATCCACAATGTGCTTAAAACCAGCAGTAGCAGCAGTATGAAGGTACTTCCTCTTAAGCTGAAAAGTAGGGAAGGAGCGCGTTCATGCAACACTCCACCTAGTGGATGACATTAGTGCCGAGTTTCCTCAGGCATGACATGGTGCCCAACAGTGGAAACTGTGAGGTAGCTGCTCTTACTGCAGCCTGACCAGGCATACTTATTAAATGAGTTGTGAGAGACTGGGTCACGCCAAAAGGCTGTGTCATTGCCCTAGAACTGGAAATAACTTTTCATACAGCCTCATGCCTTTCCATTGTGCAGATAGGCTGCCTGCCAGAACCATTGAAACAAGTGGTGCTAATCCAAGGATAGTGGGATGTATTCAGAAAAGGAGGGAAGTTTGCCTGCTCTGCCTCGCACCCGCTGCCATGCTGTCGCAGCTGTGGCACCTGAAGTGGTGCTAGGGCTCTGATGTGAAGGGGGACTGATGACTCTGATGTCAAGCGGGAGATATGAAGTGGGAAACACACTTGTTTGTGTTTATTGGTGGGGTCCCCTCCTTAAATCCATACCAGAACCCTATCTTGGATAATGTTCTGGCATGGATTTTGCAGGGGCCACAAGTAATTTTTTACATTTTTACATTTTTACATTTATGCTTTTGAAATTTTTTTTAGACTGTGTCACTTTAAGATTTTACATACTTTTAAAGTGTGCTATGACCTTTTTTTTATATGCCCTATTTTCAAGTATCTTGCATAGTATAGTATTTTGCATACAATCTAATGTACAAAAGTCTGTACAATATTAATTTTTACATGATTCCAATTGTTACATAAATCAATACAACACAATGTATTAGTTCATATTTTCCTATGATTAAAACGTTTTAGTGCATAAAACCACAGCACATAATAATGAGATAATGTCCCATGACATAACTACATGCTAAAATTCTAGGATGTTCGGTATATTCTGCAAAGAAGTTATTGAATACCAAAGTAACATTGCTACATTGGCCAATTTTTCACAGTTCCTGCACCTTTAGATTTTTAAAATGCAAATCCACCACTTTGAAATGTCACGTGACACATTTGCCAGGCTATAAACAGGATGAATAGAAGTTGTGAAGTTGCTTGATGAAGCAAATGCGTTGGTGAATGTGGTTATCAATATGGTGAATAATTCATGTAGTAAATAATACGAATAATGTAGTGGTAAATGTTACATTCAGCGCTTTCTGAATACAGCATATTATTTTAACTGAGAAGCGCTATCAATATGGCAAAACTGATATAGATAACCATAAATTCAACCACAGAGCTAAGCAAATAATTTTTACCCATACCAATTAATGACGTGCTACATATTTTGTGAAATGCACTATAAAATAAACAAGGAACCTGACTGGCTGTTGTAACTGGCTGACAGAACTGCATTCTACTTTTGTTTCCGCATTTAAAAAGCAGATCCACAGAGTAATGCATATATACCTAAACTATAAGGCAAGTCAGTAAAACAAAGCCATCTTCTCAGTGCAGTATATTTTCGGTTTAATAATGTCTAGCTGCTTGTTCAGTAAATAATTCCTGGGACTGACATATCAATTGCTGAAAGCCTCGGGTAAGCTAGAAATAAAGCCTGTTGTAGTCTGAAAGCAAATGTTTAAAGACTTAATAAAAAGCACATTCGTCTTAGCAACAATAATTTACTGCTTGTGGTAAGTCAACAAAAACTTATCACATCCAAAAAATCAGCTTATCAGACCTGAAAAAATACTAACCCCTTACCTCAACCTAACCGCTAATACTGGATGTATTCCAGTAATCAGAAGCAGGAGTGGGTAGGGTAAGTCAATCAAACTCCTCATTTGCTCCAGTGAGCTAGAAGAACAGAGTATGCCTAAGCATTGTCACATGTGAAGAAAGTGTTGCTATGCCTCTAATCAGGAATTAAACTAAAAAATTATATACGTAATGGTGAATTCGGTTATTTTTTTTACTGATTTGTTTTGTCACTCAATCAAACAGCTTAACTTTAGATTGTAAATACAAGGCAACTTCAAACGCTAACCCTAAACCTCTTGTGAAATTTACACTTTTATGATGACAAATAATGTAATATAACTAAATACTGTCACAACTATCGTAGTTGCAATAATACTATTACATTTGTGCAACATATTTTTGGTGCCTTTATACAATGCAACAAATAATTTGTGCCAAAAAACCTGAGCACTCATATCAAATGATCCCTTCAAATCAACGGCAGTTCATAATTAACACATAATCCACCACTTAAAGAAGACCTGTGCTGTCCAAGCTGTGTCCAAAAAGGAGAACAGTGAGCAACATAGTAATCCCCAACTCTCACTCCAAATGTCTACAGCCTTAGGGGTCTATTCACTAAAGGGTGAAGAGATTGGAGAAGGCAGGAGAAGTGAACAATCTAGGACAACATAGCTGAACTGGAAAGTGAGCTGACTTGGAGAATTTTTCCAAATCAGCTATGTTGCCCTAGAATGTTCATTTCTCCAAACTCTCCACCCTTTTGTGAATAGACCCCTATTAGAGTCACAGACAGCATTGCTGTAGATGTTCCCAGACTGCAGCACTGCAGATACTGTATACAGCTACAGTATAAGGATCAAAAGAACACAAAAGGCTGGCTGGCTGAACAAGATATAACGGAAAATCAAAGTGGTGGCACTTACATGTGAATCCCGGGATCAGGAGATGGGCGGCCTATATGGAGGATCGGAACACTCGTGATGTGTGTCCGACTTTGGCTGGTGTGCTGCTCAGAGGAGTACATCCACAGAAGGGTGTGAGCGAGAAGAGGGGACTTCGCCCGTAGTGCCGTTAGGGAAATGCGGGCTGTGGGCGGTGTAGAGGAGAACCAGGGGGAACCCGGCGGTGTCAGCAATAGACAGGGCTGTTGCAGCTGCGGCTGTGGGTGTCGGCAATCGGTCACTGTCAGGTCTGCTTGGGACAGTGTACGAGAGTCTGTGTGCGGGGGCAGCTGACAGATGCCGAGTGGTCGGCTCACTGATGAGATAGAGAGGGATCAGGGAGAAAAAGAGCGACGCGTTTCGAGGTACTACCTCTTTTTCAAGCTCGGGTAGAACGGTAGGACGGTGGCGGGAATCCGCCGGTTTTAAAAATGACAGGTGGGCGGAGCTAGTAGTGGTAAGCGGCGGTTCAAAATTGAGAACGTAGCTGCTGGAACCGGGCATGTATTTAGAAGCTTGGTGTGCATTGAGGCCATAAATGACTGATATGTAGGGAAAAGGACAATGGGAAGGAGTTACTATCATTGTTATTATTGTTGTTGTTAAAAAAGGGGGAGCCATTATGCAATAAAAGTCATATTAGGATAAAAAGCTACTATGTTTCTACATTGGAAATGGTGCTATGGTTAAAACAGGACCTTAGTTGAAAGGCTACTAAGTTGGAAATGTCTTTATTAAAAATGTCTTTATTAAAAGCACTAAAAATAATGTTATAAAAGAGAAAATGGAAAAAATATTAAATAAAAATAAAAATAAAATGAATAAAAATATGTATTAGAGAACCGTTCCTTTTGTTCATCATGTGGGAACCCTTTTTGATAAAAAACCACTTGCTCAATGAAGGACACTGAGTGAATGGGAGACAGATGTGTAACAAGAACCAGTGTGCTGACACTTAGAGTTGTCGTGTAGGGCATTGGTCTATGAAGTTTTATGTGATGGTCAAGATCTCTAGTTCTTCGTTGAGTCCTGTTGGGGCAAGAGTGTTAAGTCTGTAGATCCAAAAAGTCTCTTGTCTACACAACCTCTGAAATCGCTCAGCTGGAGAAAAACGGGTAGGAATGTGTTCAATGGCGAACACGTGTAAGTCCTGAATCCGTTTGCCATGTTTAGCGGCAAAGTGTCTGGGGACACTATGGTCACGATCACCAACAGCAATGAAGCGTTTGTGTTCGCCTATTCTCTTTCTTAGGGTACGGGTGGTGCGTCCAATATACAGTAAGCCGCATGGACACTTCAGACCATAGACCACGTGGTCGTGTGAGCATGTGATGAACTGTTTAATGGGGTAACTATTGTCAAGGTGATCAGTAAATGTGTGTTGGCCATGGGTGATGAACTGACATGTAAGGCAGCTGGATTTTTTAATCACACACGCACACAGTGTAATCGACTTTGGCTGATACACACTGAAAGCCTACTTAAATAAAAATGAGCATTAATTCTTAAAGCTGTATCCCAGAGCTACTAACCAGACATCAGACCAAAACAAGAATATTGATTGGTTGCTAAAAGCTACTGCACTTGAAAGTTAAAACCTAATTTTCAACCACAACATTTTTAAAGTTTTGTACAGGGTGGGTGGGGGGAGATTATAATCTATGTTAGGTTTTTTTTATTGCTGTCTGTGCCCTCGGTGGGGAGAGTTACCCTCACTTCCTGTCCTGTGACAGGAAGTGAGTGAAGTGAAGACACTCACAAGTCAGTATTATTATAAATTGTTCCAGCTCCAGCTATGTAAACTGACATCAACTGGTCTAAGAAATAGTGTTTCTCAGCTTCATAGCAACAGGAAGACTCTTCAGTTTTAAGGACCTTCCAGGTAGCTAACTGCACCCTCTCCCACAGAGACTACAGCAACCTTGCAGAAAACCTTCTGCATATAAACCTGACACTTTCATTTGCTTCTAATTGTTTGTGAATATAGTCCAAAATAAATACACACGTTCTTTGATACATGACAAGCCTTTCTGGAATATTGGTTCATGCTGTCCCACCACATACTTTTACAACATCCACAAAAACTACAAATGCTAAACCAGTGGTGTTGTCAAGTTTATACCCATAGTGTCATAATGGCAAACACATTTTTACCATACTGTAAAGTCTCATATGTTGTGTGAAAGACCTGGCTTCTCTTTGTGAATCACACCTTCTGAGAGCAAGCATGTTCTCCAAGTGCTAACTGACAACTTAAAGTAAACCATGTAATTCCTCTTGCTATCCCAGCTAACAGTACGTGAGCATACAGGCTCTTGCAAGCTTCTTTATAACTCCCTTTCTCATTTTACAGCTCAAGCACACCCTAAAAAGTAGCTGTAAAACCTGTTTTTAAAAAAAAACCTTTACTCCCTTCTCTTTGGCTTCCTCCAACCCTGTTTCCAATTTGCTGGGTTTTTTTTTTATTGGTAATAGGTACAGCCAAATGGAAAAGGAGGGGTAATTAATGTATCCAGAAAAAAATTTGAATTCTGATTTCCAGTCTGAGCTAGGGGTTTCTAAAAAGCTGTGATATGAGAGAGAGTAATGCTCAGGTATTGTCAGATGTGATGTTGAAAGAAAATGAATTAACCTGAAGTTCTCCTGTCAGGTTCTTAGAAAATAGAGCTAAAAGGTCCCTGCAAGAGAAGAGGTAGTATACCCAACTCAACGAAGGCTTGTCTCTCCTAACTCTGCTCCACTCTGGTGGGTGGGAAAGTAGGAGACATGTATACTACATCTTCTCTTGCAGGGACTTTTTAGCTCCATTTTATAAGAACCTGACAAGCTTACTTTAGGAAAACCATGCCTTTAATCACAATGTTTTTGATTAAATCACAAATGCTTAGATTAAAACTTCCATAATGCAAAAATATGAATTCACTTACATCATTTGGAATGGTAAGTTCATGGGAACTGGTCGGAGAAGTGGCATCCAGTCCTAAGAAGATTAGAAGCAACAAGAAGTCATGGACACAATTTACCAGTAGCTTGCACATAAAACAGAAAATGTAAAGTACACACACATTGTACCACAGATGTAAACAAAAATGAAAAAGATCATACCGCAGCAAAGAAAAGTACAGAACTTACAGCAATGTGAAAAACATTATTACGGGGGAAAAGTAGAAGTCAGCATAGATTTGAATATGTCTCTTATGCATTAAGAACTGTCAGTCTGGCACCAAATGGTACTGGACAAAATGTCACTTGATGTAATTAGGAAGCAGGATAGACAAAGGAATTAAACTGACCGGTACATGGCTTAATTTAATTGTGTTTGAGCTAATACTTGCACTCCCTGCCTGCTTAGATATGCAAAGTTACCTATTTAATAATAAAAACAAAAAATAAAAAAATGAAAGGATTGATTGTTGTTACTAAAGAAAAATATTGTGGGATTTGGGCAGGATATACAATGAAGGCAAGTGGAATTCAAATCAATAGGGTTAGTGGTATTTCAGACATCTCAGGAGGGAAGGTTTATTGGAAGAGGTAGGAAACAGAGAATACTGTAAGTTGCATACATTTGTTTTATAGAGGAATGAATAGAGTTACAGGGGAAAAAAGAAGTTGAGGAGTGGCTACATTCATCAAGATGCATTCTATTGTTTTAATAAGGAAAACATTTAAGGAGCAAAGCAATAGCTATTAATATAAGGAAAAAGAAAGGACAGTCTGAAGCAAGCAGAAATTAACAGAAGAGTGTCTAATATTTCATCATGTACATCTTCATAAGATCAACATTTCTGAAAGTAATTTTTTGAAATATAGTATTTCCAGGAGTTTAAATATATCCAAGGCCAAATTATAATTTCTTAGAATTCTTATACATGATAAAAGCAATAACAGGAACGTCATACTGCAAGCATGTACCAATGTAAAGTTCTAATGAGGGCAAATCCTATTATTTTATGGTTATTTTTAAATTCTTTTAAGAGATAGTTGATTATTTGAAAGACTTGTTAGAGCAAGATATTTTTAGAGAGCTCTTCATCCTCAATTAATGTAATTACTTATATGACTAGTCTTTATACTTCCGGAAAGTCAGGAATAGGAAATTTCAGCTAAACTGTGCCCTTTTTTTGATCACACTGCATAATGTATTCATTTCAATGCATATTAGTATATGCTTGAGTACACCAGCTCCTCTAATGGACATCATTGGTATATTTAGTTTATGTTAATGGAACAAAACAAAATGAAGCAAATTAGACTGACAAAGCATAGATGAATGCAGCAGCAAAAACAAAAACAAGAAGCATCATATAATAAAGATTACAAAGGATAATGGTCATTGACGACATTTAGTAAAAGAAATGATGTAATGACCATGGGAAAACAAAGGTGTTAAGAAGAAGGACATTCTCAGGGGTCATGGGTACGTACCAGGGAAACCAGGGGTGGTCTGCCCAAGGGAAGTAAAAGGGGTATGCTGCATAGCCAACTGGTGAAGCTTGGTCAACTGCAGGGCAGGATGGGAAATTAGAACTAACCAATCAAATGTAATTATATCAGAGTACAGAAAACCATCTATTGTTTAAAAATAAAAACAAAACAACTGGATTATTCAAATTAACAGAAAGGATGAAACATTCTTATCTAAACTATGAAAATAGATAATACAACATTAAGAAATACATTACATTTTAACTGTTATATTTTGTCATAACTACAGTTATTGTTAACATACATAAATAATACTACACAGGTGGAACTTAAAAGCATGCAAAATTAAAGTAATGACAAAAGTACAGATTTCATTTTGCATCTGGGCTGCTATACTTTCTACAAAATTAAGTCACTTAAACCAGTTATTACTTTCTATATGTGTTAGTGCAAAGAAAATCAATTCATCTCCTACAGAAAGTAAATGCTTCCCAGTGCAAATAAATAGGGTAAGTCTGATATTATTGACATGCGCTGGACTCACGTCTGGATGTGGAATAGCATACTGCCCCTGAATTGCAAATGCCTAGAAAACGACAAGTAAATAAAAAATTACACTTGAGCTTTTATTATTTTTTTCTTTAGACGACTACTGATGAAATTCTACAAAAATGATTTTGTAAAGGATACTGTATAGTTTTGTAGTTGACCAGGAATGACATACTCAGTTCTGATATTGAATGTTGTTTAAAGAAGGAATGCCAATGATTAGGGTGGAAATTGGTTAATTTCACTGCAAATCTGAGATAGAAAATCCAATTATTGATGCCCACATCTGGTGTTTTAGTGGCCCAGCCAACACTGGGTCCCTTTAAGCCTAAAAGTCACCTGGAAAACAAACGTAAATAGACTTACCTTTATGGCAGCCAATGTGTTAAAAGGCTGACGCATCTCCACTCCCCAACTGAAAGTATTTAACACTTCCAAATGTGTAGAAAACGTACTTCCCCACTGGCTGATGTGGTTCTTCCTGCCAGCTCATACATTACTACGGAGCATACAAACCAGCAGGAGGAACCCCATAGGCTGGCAGCGGAGCAAGCATCCAGTGGTTGAATACTTGCAGCGATTAGGAAGCAGAAATGTGGATTTTTTAAATATACAGAGGCCTTTGCAAAAGTAAGAATATTCACGCTTCTTTTACAAGTGATTTATTGGCTGCATTCTATTTTTTTGTATGTTTGACAAAATGCTTCACTGTTTACAGTTTTCTTAAGCAAATACAGTTTTGTGAATATGTTGCAAAGTTTCTTACCTGGAGATCCTGCCAGTAATAGCACTTTTTGTTGCCAACAGTGCTAAGCCACTGCCTCTTAATTAGCAGCAGTGTTTTCTGCCCGGAGACCACACAAACAAAGCACCACTCCTCCATGGCTCAGGAAAGGAATGAGCTGGGTGCTTGCCACTGAGAGCATGTCCTCACTCCAATATGAGCACATACATTCGGAGGAAAAGTTGACAAGACACTGGATTCCATTGGAATAGTTTCAGAAGCTTGTACCACATCACTAGCGTCCCACCCAAGGTCTACCCCATCGATGCATTTCACCCAATCATGGGCTTAGACATAGAAATCTCTGCAACTAAACCTGTGATTGGGTGAAATGTGTCAGAGGGGCAGACCTTGGGTGGGATACCAGTGATGTGGTACAAGCTTCAGTGTTGTCTGCCAGCCATGTGCACTCCTTCAGCTGGGCCATTTGACATCTTATCAGGGCAAAGCATGCCTCCTGCTTCCATGGCCAATTGAGGGAGCACTTACAGCAGGCTGACAGTGCTGCTGCTAATTGCAAGTGATTTCCTTAACAAAACTGCATACAGAGAGGCATGTTAAACATATACGGAAAATATAACAGGCAGGAAACATATTTTGGGTTTTCTTACACCTTAAGTGCTGTCTTTTTACAAATTATTTTAATGTATCTACTCCTGCAACTTCTAAATGGCCATACTGTACAGAGAAAGTAGCGTTTGTACAAGAACTACACACATGCATCGAAACATCTTCATATAACTGCATCTTCCCTCATGGCCATTCAATATCCAATCAAATATCCATTGATCTTGAATATTGGGGCTGCCCATACAAGGGTCATTATCAGCAGAGTAGTAATTGGTAATTGATTTGCCTATGCATGAGGACCTTTAGTCCAGAGATTTTATGTTATACTAAACAATACAAGTCTTATAGGCTATGCTACAGTGGTAAGGCTAGCTTTTTATTATTATATCCTATCCTTTTTATTTATCAGATAAGCACAGGACGGGGTGTCCACCCCATTTGTAAACTTTTAAGCCTACTGGCCTCTAATACACATTTTATATCACAGCTTATATTAATGCTTTGCAAACTCCAGTAATAGAAGAATGTATTTGAGTTTAAAGATGAAAATTGTATGCATTTACTAAAAATACTTCATAAAAGGTTTACTTTGAGAGCTGATAAACTGGCAAGTTTGCATTGCCAGATGGCCAGTCAGAAGATTAGTTTATACAATATGCAAATGTAGTTAAAATCTAAAATATTCTATGTTGCTTTTATGTGAATTTTCAATGCTGTTTAAAAGAAAATTATAATAGAAAAGTGCTTGAAAAAAATTGTGAATGTCTTCACCAGGGAAATATTTCCTTGATAATTTGACCACTAATACCACCTATTATACTGTAACCAAACATGACTTATTAGCCATATTATTATTGTTAAATGTTCTAATAAACTATATCGGCATGCTTTATTCAGCAGAGATAACATTATTTCATTAGAAATTTGCTTGTATGACTTTCAGAGGCATTTCTGTTTGCTAAACCAAAGTTTATTATATGCATCTATCACATGATTGGTGTTTTGTTAAACAAGAGCAGTTCTAGAAAAGTGCTGTGGAAAAATTATGAAACTCATACACTGGGACTGCTTAGAAAGTCATGATAACCAAGTTCTGATATTTGTTGAAAATGTACAACTTGTTAAAAACAATCTAAAATCGACTCTGTACTGAGCAAAAAGTAACAGTAATACTTTCCACAAGCATCATGATGTGCCTTCTGAAAATCCTATGTACATATAGAATAGAATATATAGAAAATTGCATATAGCTTGGCATGCCCACTACACCAATATGACAGTGGTTGGACCTAGTGATATATCACTGAGTTGCTAAGTACTGCACTGTGGAAATGTACGCATGTGCCTCATACTCAGAAGTAGCAGGTTTTTGAAGGGGTTCCCACAGTGGATTATTGACGGATGTGGCTGACAAGGTAGGGGCACAGAATTTTGCTCTTTAGTGATGGCTTATAGAATAACAAGGCATACCACCTTTAGGCCCCTTTTACATGGGCTGTCCAATCGGGTCTGCCTGTCAGCTTTTCAAGCAGACCCGATTAAATGCCCAATGTAAGTCTGTGGGCAGCTCTGTGTAAACAGACAGGTATCCGTTTATACCTGTTTACCTTGACTCCGGCCAGGTCCGGAAAAACAAACAAATAAATTAGAGATCCATTTAGCTGGACTGGATTATGCCGGATCAGGCGTAATCCGATGTAAATGGACACATGTCAGCTTACATCCAATTCCCCATAGACAGACATGGGGTGCTGTAATTCCAGTTTTTTCCTCCATCTCAAGAAAATGAAAGGAAAAAAACTGTACGAACATGGGTGTCACGGGAGTGACATCTGCTCCGTACTGCTGTGATCAGGAGGGAATCCGTGTAGAGATCCTCTCCTGATCAGCCTGTGTGAAGCCTGTGTGATAATAGAAACCTGGTCTTGCAAACATATATTCCACCCACTCACATAATCTTTGAGAGACTTTGGATCACTGTTGGAGTACATTCCAATATTATATAAACATGACTAGCTGTTCTAACACAAGTGCATGGGTTTAAGTTAAGCAATTTATTGGGATAACATAACAGATTTTCTTTCGGGTTAAACATAAATTCTAAATAATACGCTGCACAATATTGCAGAAACAGATTTTAAATCTTACAGGTGTAAATGCAAAAAGTAATAGATTATGTTAAAAGATCAATTTTGCAAAGTGTTTTTATTGTTTTAGTAAGATAAGGTTTGGGTTTTCTGTACACAATTTTTGGAGCTTTATAAATAGGTGTTTGAAAATACTCTGTGAGTTAATGGCTAGTTGATGGTAGAAAACAAATAGGAATTTTACAAGTAGTTCCCATATATTTTAGGCAATATACAACCTAGTTCTACATTAATATAGAATATAATGACTACTGGTATGAAATTTTTTTAGTCATTTAGTTTAAATCATTAAAATGTATAGTAAATGCAATCAGTGTAAGTATTGGACTTTGACTTGGTATCAAGCTCTTGCAGCCCATGTATAGCAGAGCTCAGACTGGGGGAGGGAGAACCAGTTGTGCTGCAGTACACACGTGCTTACCAAGAGCAATTTTGGCAGAAGAAGAGAGCAGAGTGACAGAGAGATGGGCTCCTTTGTCTGCTGCTTCTCCTATATTGCCCAGTCATAGGCTGGGGGCAGGAAAAATATTTAGTTGTATTCTTAACAACAGAAGAGAAAAATCAAATCTCCTCCCCTGCCATTCAGAGCTGTGCATTGTGGCACGGCTGTGTACATCTTATAACTGGATAGAAAGAAGAACATATCCATTGACAGGTAAGACAGCTTCCATAAATGTACAGTATATGTACAGTATATCGATTTCTTTATTATTATATACCGTATATACTCGAGTATAAGCCGTCCCGAATATAAGCAATGTTTTATTTAGCTGTCTGCTTGGAATGCAGCTTTAACATTTAAAATGAATATTTAGTTTAGTGAATAAGGTGCAGCTGCTTCACTTCAACCATCCAATTATGTGCAACAAAAGTCCTGTTTTTTTAACTTGCCTTGAACATGATTAGTTATGCAAAGTGAACACAGCTTCACCTTACTCATAAACCATAAAACAAACAATCACTTTTCAAAATGCACATTCATTAGACCTTTAGTACATAAACCCTGTTATTTGAATTGCTTTGTGCTGAAATCTTATATCCACGATATGAGCATCTACTTACTCATATTCCTGGACTTTCATACAAAACAAGAGCATAACCTCAAATACAAATATTTTCTGAAACACTTGGAACAAGAACTTAGTCTGGCATGCCTGCTCAATTATCTTCTGTAATAATTCCTTGATCATTTAAAAACTATACTTGACTTGAATAGTGGTGCTGTTAACCTATCACTTCAGTATCCTCTTAAATCAGATCTGTAGTAAATGAAGAATAAGAGACAGACACTCAAACTGTAAATTAATTTGCAACTTAATTAAAATGGGAGCACAGCATGCACAATACTTTCTGAACCATTTAATGCATGAAAAACATGAGGAACCGATAAAGTGATAATTGGGACTGCAGCGATTCTGAAATGACAAAGCAGTTCGGGTGAACTGGTCGACTATGTGCAAGCAATGTCTCAAAACAACATGTACTCTTATACTATACCAGGAAAAACCAGAGTAAACTAACATGTGTTGGTTGAGGTTGGGCCAAGACGGCGTGATTTCCAGCTGAGGCCAAAATGGTGTCCGCTCTTACCTGGCCTCCAGCAAAAATAATAGGTCCAGAGGCAGGCTTTGGGCGATAAGGAATGGTGGCACCTTTTGGCGGCGACTGATGAAGAAAAAAAAAAATTGATAAATTATTTAAATCGTGTTATTCTTGAATTATTCTATTATTTCTGTAAAATTTTGATTTAATTCAAACAATGAATTCTAGTCTAATTCAATAAATAAAATAAAATATGTTAGACGCACCTCTAACATGACAACACAGATCTGTTTAACACACTGGATGATGGCATCAGGAGTTCCTGATATAGTAACCGCACGCTCTGTTGAATTGGGCAGCATGTCCCCTGCTACTTGAACTTGAGCACCTGTGGACTGAAATAACAAAACAAAAAAAAAGCATGGTGAAAATAGCAAACACAAATTTAAGAGATGTGATACAAGTAGCATTTATGAAAGAGGAACTTCACTCTTATCTTTAAAATGACAACAAAGGCACCTTTAGGAATGTTCACCATCTACTCCAAAATGGCGGCACGCATGTGTAGAACATGCCATATCGTTCTGCGGTTTCAGTGTGCAGTTTTAAATTTGGAGGCTCATTACCTCTGAATCCGGAACAACATAAACATTTGTTTCTTTTGGCAAAACGAATGAAAACGTTTTTCGTTTTCATTTGTTTGGTCTGGAAACAAATGTTTTTGTTGTGCATATGACTAGTAAATATCACGCAAGCTAACAAGTGCTGCTTATCCTAATCCTTTCTCATATTTGAAAATGTCAAAATAAGGTATACGTTCTAATTAGGGATATACCAAAATTAAATCTTTAGATCAAAACCAAAATTAAAATTTTTGTCAGGCTGTAACTGAAACCGAAAAATCCTGTTATGTCCAACTTTTTTTTTCATTATTTTTTAGTGATTTCATTTTTTTTACTTTACTGTTGGGGGCTTTGAGGAAATATCAGGGGTCTGTTTCCCTTTTAAAATGGTAAATCTCTTTTTCTGCAGCCCCACCACTTAATGAACAGGACGCTCTCACAATCTGGAGATAGTAAATATTTACTATCAACTCAGTCTTGAATGAACAGGAAGCCTCTGTACTGAGCTGCTTCCTGTTCATTCATAAAGTTAGCAGATAGGAAATATTTACTATGCCCCTAATCATAAATGAACAGGAAGTGATATATAGCACTTCCTGTTCATTCATAACTGGGGACATAGTAAGCTTACTATGTCCTCAATTATTTACAAACATTCAGCGATCAGTACTGTGCTCTGCTCTCCATCCTGACTGCTTCCTCCCTCACCGGGGTCAAGCTTTCCTCCCTGCACCCCCTGCTCAGCATCCTGACAGATCTTTCCTCCCGCACCGCCCCGCTTGGCTTCCTGACAGCTCTCCACCCCCTGCACTGCCCCGCATGGACCCTGAATGGCTTCTCTCCTCCCCGCTGGGCGCTAGCAGCTGAATCAGCCCTGTGTCCCCTCCAATCCCCACCTCTACTGACACAGGCGGGGGAGAGCAGGGGGGATCAGAGGGGACACAGACCGGCGCCCAGTGGGGAGGAGAGAAGCTAGCGATGCACTGCATTTTCAACCGTTTTGGTACTATCTGCATTTTGCCATTTTCTGCCAAAATGTTTCAGAAGCCGCAATTTCGGTGCATCCTTAGTTTTAATCCATATGAGTTCATGGGAAAGATATATATGTGAAGCAGCCATAACATACTTATTAAAAATTAAGTCTCTACTTCCTGCTTAGTAGCACTGATTGATTATTCTGACTAAGACTAATAAGCTGGCCTTACACTTTTCAAACAAAACTTCATAGAAAAAATCTCAATAGAAACTTCAATAAGGCCATCAGAGACTTGATGAAGGTCATTCGAAATTTTGATTGATTTTAATATTCTTTTTTTTTTGGAAAATACTTTTTATTAATTTTCAGTCAGGCATAAAGTCTTACAAACATCGCCCACCGAAGTGGGGGCACAAATCCACGGATTTATTTTAATATTCAATTTGGAAATGAATGGAGTTTCTTGAACGATAACCAAATTCACTGTTAGAATTTTGTTCATTCGAGAAGCATTTTTCATCCTGCTCCTTTATTTTTTTTCATTACCAGAGATTGAAATAAATGATTGGTTTGACCCTAATAGCTATTGGAAAATTCAATATTCCAAAAACAAATTCTACTGGTGTATGGCCAGCTTCACCTAGTGAAAACTGGTTCATATCAATAGACTGTATTTGGCTGATTAAGTTAAAGGTGCCACTTTTTGCACTATTGTGGCCCTCATGTTATCATCACCCTAAATGATCCCTCCCCTATGACTCATTGAATTATACTTCTCCTGCATTATGGTAAATAGGTTGAGATAGGTAGATCATGTAGCATCACCTTTCTTTATTTCTAGCCTCTTCCTGACCTTTTGAAGCTGTCTGATCAATCAATATTCTTACCATAAGCAACTAAGCTCTAATGCTGCCGAATGGCAGAGGTCATGTGCAGATCTGGATAACTCTGTCCCACTGAACAGATCTGGATAGGGACATTCCAGAGTTACAAATAACAATTGGGTTGCTAGTGTGATATCTTAATTTAGTAAAACTTAACACTATACATAGTTATATAATAATAATAATAATAATAATAGTGTGACAGGTATTATTGTTTGATTACAACATGGTGCAGCCAAGGATGCTCCTACTACAATGCATGTATTGTGCCATTAATTATAAAAGTGAAGGTGTTGCACAGAAAGAGTTAAAGCAATCAGAAAAAGGATTACAATTAACAGCTAGTAAAACAACCAAGGTTTTTGTCAGGCACAGTATGACACAGAATTCTCCAGATTAAATTTACAAAAACAAATCAATGGGTTCTTTTCAGACACAGTATGACACAGAATTCTTCAGACTAAATTTACAAATAAAAATCAAGTGGTTATTTTCAGGCATAGTATGATAGAGGTCGCTCCAGATTATATTTACAAACACAAAGCAATAAAATGACCATTCTTATGATGCATATGTCAGCAGATATCTTTATATAGGTAATTCATTACCAGAATTCGGTGAGATCTATATAACTTGGTTGTTGAATGTTTGTAACCATGATTACCTACAGTATGCTACATAGATGTGTCTACTGTTCTGGATTTATTATATTGTATCTGTAAATTGTACACTGTGGAAGCTGCTATTTTGGTTTACGGATCAATATTTAACAAAAATTGCAGCTTACCACTTCCCTGGAAAGTAACAGAATCACATTGTCATTATATCCAAGTGATTCATTTAATATTAGTTTTGCCCTCAAAATGCCTTCTCTGTTTTGAAAACTTTACCCTTTAGGGTGCATTTAATGTCTAAACATTGGTGAAAGCTGTTTCAATTTAATTTAATGAGAACTCATTCAAAATAAAACCCATCTGTGGAGAAAGGTGCTTATTGCAGCCCTGAGCCCCTCTCTCTGTGCTCCTCAATACTCCGCAGCTCCTCATGGGTTCCCCCTTCCTGGCTCCCAACCTCCTCCTAGCTACAGCATCCTGGGCTTTGATTTCTGACACAAAGCCAGCAGATCAGATGTTCCCCCTCCTGGCCCCCTCCCTCTGTCCTGCTGGCTATTGCAGGCAGAAGTCTGCAGACCACAAAAGCCCTGCTGTGAAATGGACAGCGGGGGGTCCGGGCAGTGGCCACTACTGGGACAGATGTCCCTACTGGGACATCTGTAATGGCCACCGATATAACCTGCTCATGCCCAGTACAAATCCCCCATTTCCCATCAATTCAGCCTCCCCAGAGAAGACCAAAGACACATGGGGGTAGGGACAGTTGCTAAAACAACAGCCTGTATACTCCCTTTCCCTCCCCTATCATGTCTGCACCTCTCAGGATGCTTTTAATGTCTGTAGGAGGGCTAAGCCTTTGTTCTTCACTGTGACTGCCAAACCAGAGGCTGCGCTAAGGCTGGACATTGTCTGTGGATGAAGAGGAAGAGAGACTTAACCCTGACTGTTGTGCTCAATTACTGCTGCTGAGGTCTGCTGGGATTTGTAGTGCTTTCCCTGTTGTATGTTGTGGAGGTCAATGGGACATTTGACTCTGGACATGTGTATTCTGTGATTGGAGATTGCTGGGACTTGTGGCACCTTACTAGCTGTGAACTGTTGTCTGGACACTGATGTGCCCCTTTGTTTCCTCTCTATGTGCTGCCTGCTACCTGGCGTACCTGACACTGCGACCAGGTCACCCTGGAACTTTGCCCCTCCCAGGACCTAGGGATCTCCCTCCAGAAGGACTTTGTAATCCCCTCATTCTGCAGGTCACCCTGCCTGGATCTCTCTCAGCCAAGCCAACTTGCTGCCCAAGACTGTCAGACGCCTACAGTATGAGTTGTTTAATCACTGTAATCTATCCCTTGCTGTGCCTGTGATTGCTACACTATGAACTGTTGGCCTGTGACCTCGTGGATTGAACCCTTGCTGTGCCTAAGATTGTTCTTCCATCTTTGCTGTACCTTATTGCCATTAACCCTTTATTGTACCCAGATTGCTGTCCTGTGTCCATGGACTCTGCCCGTGCTGTTCTCCGCTGCCAATAAGCCTTTGCCGTGCCTGGATTCCTGCCCTGTGCCCCTGGACTCCCACTACCCAGGCTGTTCCTTGCTTTTGTTAGCCTTTTGTTTTGCCCAAATTGCTACTACACTAACAGTTTAAGCATGTCCTTTAAACTTTTTGAACAAAGATGTGTTATCACACTGCAAGATACTTCCTTCTTTGGAAGGTTATGCAGAAAAGTTGCAGCATACAAAATTTAGGGACAAATTGATCTAAGGAAAGAAATACAAACACAGGTCAACCCACAGACTAAAAATACCGTTATAATAGTCCTTTTTTAACTCTACTGCCAAAATTCAAAACAAAAAACCAACAATATGAGCATGGTTGTTCTACTCTTTTAAAAGGCCCCTGGTCCTTTCTAAGACATTCAGTCCTTTCACATTCTTAATGTAACTACTTTTATTCTTTCCCGAAAGAGTTTAAAGATTGCTTTCTAAGGGAGCTTTCAAGTTTTCATAAAATAATTCTACAAAGCAACCCTCATATTCACACATCCATCCAAAGCCCATTGTAATAATTATTTCTCAGACAGAAACTATTAATATTAAAGACTGCACCTCAGATATCAGCAACAGAACTAAACTAAAGAGCCAAGTGATTGCTCTACAGACATTCTAAGATACAAAACAATGAAAAATTCCTGCAAATTCACCTATATTAGAATGTTTCCTATGCATAAACTTGGAAATCCAGCACTTTCAGTGTATGTAGATCAGAACTATTCTCAAAACATTACAGTACACGGAGATGCCTTCTGTGAGTGATGCATTGGCTTAATTTCTCCCATCCTACCCTCCATAGTTAACAATTGGTTAGCTATTTGTTGCTTCTAAGTGCAACAACATCCCCTATAGTGTCACTGATATTTACAGTTGTGTAGGTCTAGATACAAACCGAATAATACTAATATAAGAGGTAATATATTCCATGTCTGGGTATATTATCATTTCCATGAGGGTTATCTTAATACTACCTGCTCTTTCACCATACATGGTGACCCATGAAGTGGTAAGTGCCTGCTCAAATCAAGAGGAGTAATTGTAAATCAGCATTTAAAAACTCTTTAATGCTGATTCTACCATATCGAAGGGTGACTGTACAGAACAGAATAGATGAGCAAATAGGTCTAGGGCCACAGTAAAGTTCACTGCAGTTAAGTCTCTGTAAATGACCATACATAGACAGAACTTGACTGGTCACCTAAACCAATAACACCAACAGCTAAAGCCAGGTAATATAAGAATGGCCATACAACTGATGTGACTAACCTGAGCTTTGCTTGTGTCAATCAAAGCAGTATCCGGAGCTTATTCTACCCAAAACATAAAAAAAGTTTTATCCTAATTTCTACTTTAGGAGGTTAAATTTGATGGTCATCAGCTTTTTTTAAACCTTATTAGTCACCATCTATTAATCTCTGGGGCTATGTTTCATATCATTGCTTCACAGCTCAACATGCAGATCAAATTCACTGGCTTCATACTCGTTCCAAATCAGTGATTTAATTAGTAATGGAACAGGGTTGAGAATGACTACTTCAAAACTTTACTAACAATTCAGCACTGGCAACTTCCATATTTCTATCTGGCCATCTTACATTTATCAAAATGGATTGTATGGCCCAATCTTACTGTTAAATCTTCAGCCAGAGTCTTACTATGTAAGGCCAACTTATGACAGGATGAAAAGTGCTTCTAACCTGAAAATAGCACTGGATTCATGTACACACACTGTACCAAACTAGTGTTCTAGAATACACACCTAGTTATGGTAATTAGGATTAGAGATATGTTCTCACCTAATCATATATACACATAATTTATTGAGGCAGTTGGTTTCAATTGAATTGTTAGTGTTCATCAATGCAGTAATATTTTATGCAATACCGTGGCATTGATTTACTATAGGCACATAGGTGGTTCACTTTGCATGGGACTTTCTCATACTATATTAATTGAAGTGAAAATCTGCTGCTTTCCATCATCAAATCACACATGCAAAAATATAATTTTTTTTTATATTCCTTGCATGTGATTGGGCACTCCTTGCAAAGTGAATTTTCACTAGATTTACTAAGCTAAATAGAAATTCACTAAGTAAAACAGTTTGTGTGCCTTTAGTAAATCAGCCCTATTGGATTTAAAAACAGCGGCAGACAAAATAAACCAATCATTTATGAAATAACCTTTGTCTTACCTCTCTGATTTCTTTAATTTTAGACCCTCCTTTCCCTATAAGAGAGCCACACTGGCTTGCAGGCACAACTAGTCGTAAAGTTACAGGTGGTTTGCTTGTTACTGTGCTGTTTGTCATGGAAGCATTGATATCCTGGAAGACATTGAAAAATAATATTATATTTATTATAGCTAGCAGTTTAGCCAGTGAAGTATATAATCACAAGATACTGTACATTCTAATACAGGAGGACCTGGATAAAATAGGGGAGTGGGCATTAATGTGGCAGATGAGGTTTAATGTCGATAAATGCAAAGTAATGCACTTTGGAATTAAAAATAAACAAATGGGTTATACAATTATGGGTATGCCGCTGGGGAAGTCAGAAATGGAGAAGGATTTGGGGGTCATTGTAGACCACAAACTGAAAGGTAGTTTGCAGTGCCAGGCTGCTGTAAACAAAGCTAGCAGGGTCTTGTCCTGTATTAAAAAGGGGATGTATTGCAGGGACAAGTCTATAATTTTGCCACTTTATAGATCATTGGTTCGACCTCATCTGGAGTACGCGGTCCAGTTCTGGTCACCAGTACTAAGAAAAGATGTCCTTGAGTTGGAAAAAGTCCAGCGAAGGGCAACCAAACTAATTAGGGGTATGGAGGACCAGAGCTACGAGACGAGGCTACTAAATTTAAACATGTTCACATTAGAGGTGAGGAGATTAAGGGGGGATATGATTTCCATGTACAAAATGTTTAATGGTGGTAGCAACATTAGCGATAAACTGTTTAAAATTAACTCCGTTACAAAAACTAGAGGCCATAACCTAAAATTGGTGGAAAAAAAATTCCAGCACAAGGTGCGAAGGGGGTTCTTCACAGTAAGATCAGTTAGGGTCTGGAACTCACTGCCACAGGCGGTGATTTCAGCAAATAATGTGGAATTGTTCAAGAAACTTTTGGACGATTTCTTAAGGGACCGTAATATACAGGGGTACGGGTACTCCTAGAATGAGATCCTAATAGGTTGGCCTTGATGGACTAATGTCTTTATTCAACCTCAAATACTATGTAACTATGTAACTATGTAATAGGGAAATTCATTAAGGAAAGTAAGATTTACACTAGCTTTTCAAACCTTTAGTTCTGATATCCAAACATGAACTTTACATCACAGTCTTTACATAAAACAATACAAATTGAATAGGGGAGCCTTACTTTTTTGCATTAAAATAAACACAGAACAGGTTTGCTTGGAGGATAAAACATCACTCTCCCATTTTTAAAATGTGCTTAAAGGGAAACTATAATGACTTGGGGTCAATTGTATTCCATTTTCTAAAAGCTTAAATGTTTAAACTGATGTATAATAGTTGTTTTAAAAGGAAATCTATGTTTTTGACCCCCTGGCGAACTAACAGAGTGGCAAATAGAATTTCCAGAGAAGGAAAAAGTATGTGTGTTCCTGTGGAGGGGGCCTTAAATCTAAGCAGTTGCTTTTCCTTACATGGGCAAAACACAAGTTTTATCAAATCCTGCCATTACAAAAGCCACAATAACTAACGGAAATTTTTGAGGTCCAAAAGTTGTCTAATTTTGTGAATTCTCATTTATAAGTAAAAAGCACTAACAATATATTTGGCCTCACTGCTTGCCCATTCTATCCTCCTGTAATATATACATGGAGACAATAGCATGTGTTCCATAAAATGCCTTATTTTGACTAGATTAAAACACCACGGGAATAACTAGACTGAACTGTATTATTTCACTTGTTTAAATAATAAAAATGACACCTGTTGAGAAATGATCCTAGGGATTAGCATAAATCCTTCAATAATTTAGAAAACCCAGACACACTACAATTGGCAGTTGTACTTTCCCTAACCTTATAAATGCATCTGCAGTACTTCCACAGTATGTATTTTTTTTTTTTTTGCACTATACTCAGCTGGCATTCACTGAACAACAATATTGCTATAGTAACAATTATGTCTTAAACAGGAACTCCAGCTAAAACATGTATTATGTATTCAAACAGCGCAAACCCCCTAGCATAGAAATCCCATATAATATAAAGTACATCCAAACATATTTATTTAAACATTGCAACACATAAAGATAAATCACCTCATTACATTTAAAACTTATTTAAAAATCGCATAGCTTCCCTGAAGTGACTCAATGTGGGACAGAAATAAACAGGGTTGAAATACCCGCAGGGCAGAGCAGCAGTCATTGATATGAACGGATACACCGTTATGAGGTGGTGGATACTAATGTATCAGCATATGATGATAGGATTACTCACTTGTTCCTCACTTGTGGCCACAAGGGAAAGAGTCCGTACTTCTATGATAGATATTCCAGTGGTATTCTTAGTAAAGGTTTTTTATTCAAAAAACATTTGTAATCCTGCTGATCGCTTAAATGTTTCCACCACTTGCACCAACTTCCATTGAGTTTGATCCCGACCTGTTTCACTTCACATCTACTGTGGACAGGTGATGAAAAATTTATTTTTCAGAAGCTCTGCCCATAATTATATTTATTTATATATATTTTTTCTTTTCTTAGCGTTACTCCTTTTCCCCCCGTTTTTGCAATGTATTTAAAACATGTATTAGTAACATGGAAATCGGAAATCACTATGGTTGTTAACTTTGCATATGGCATAAGTACTGAATTATTGACCCAGGCTGTACTTGGGGCCTCAAATTCTGCTACAGGGAAGATTGTGTCATGTTCACTCCTATTGCTGCCCCTGGTATTCAAATATCAAATGCCAGAATCTCTACTTGACATTCAGTCACATAACTGCCCCTACTCTCCTCTTGTCCATTCACAGAACGCCTTGCATTTTGTAAAAAATATAAAAGGCTTTTTGTGAATGAATGAATGAAGGGAGAAGAGGGGGCCAGTGTATGACTGGAGCCCTTCACTGTCACAGCTGCAGCCCTTCATCCCTGCAGCACCGTAAGTATAGTGTTGTCTCTAGCATCCGGCTTCATTCAAGGTATATTTGTACAGTAGCAGGCAGCTATTCACACCTAGGGGTTCATTTATAAAAGTTCTACCCGCTGTGTAGCCAGGTGGATGCTGTTCGAATGGCACTAGTGCCCCTAGATGGCACTGATGAGTATAGGAATTTCCTATACTTGTCAGCACCAATTAGGGGGACTAGTGTTGTGCGAATGGCATCCGTCTGGCTACTCACCAGGTAGAACATTTATAAATAACCCCTTAATGTAGTCATTATTGGAGAACTTATTAAACTTGTTCTGTTTAAAAAAAAAAAATGTTTTCCTGGAGTTCAACTTGTATCTTACACAGTTATTCATGAATTCATTGTACTTACAGGCTCTTATACCCACAGTAAAGTCAGTTTCCAATGCTATGAAAATGTTATTTTTCACTAAATACTTTTTCAAGCATCAGTCCCTAGAATTGTTGTGAAGACACAGCTGTGATAATCACAGTACTGGGTCACTACAGTAGTTTCACTAGCTGGTACTACAAAAGCTTGGAGGTGCACGAGGGAGCTGACTCTGCGCTTGTTGGAACTTGGAACTTAATAAAAGTGTCTAAAAATAAAAACAGTTTAATTAGTTACAAACACATATGAGCTTTCTGACCTCAAGCTGTTGCAGTAAAAGCAGGTTGGAATGTGTAAATATGCCTCTATCCTATTGTATGGACTGAAGTGTGGAATGTCATTTCAGTTGTTACTGAGAAATAAGTGACATGAGGTCAAAGCCAAAGAACAAACTTGTTCTTGACAGCAGAGGGAGTATAAGGTTCAGATTTGGACTTCTAATTATAGCAGGAAGATAATAGCAATTCATAAGCGTGACAGGAACATAAAGACAGACATCAGGCATTGCAGCTGAAGCTGTTATATACAGCTGTAGAAACACATCTCAAAGTTCAGACATCATTATATCATGCTGCACATTAGGACATTAAGCAATATGTTATTAATAAAAAGGCCTAATATACTGTATCTGAATTATACCTGTTACCTTAAAACCTGCTGACCATCCTACAACAATGTCTACAAACATATATCACATGCAGATTTTAACAGTCTTGTTAACCAGGGATGTTGGCCATCATAGTAATGGGCCATTAGCAAGTTAAAGGAGGCGGAAGGGAATAGGCCAGCTCTTGACACTACTAGAGAGTATCAACGTCTGCATATGGCCATGGTGTGAGACTCAGTGGTCAGTTTCTTTTATCAGATATGTTTATTATTGAGTTTTTTACGCAAAAGTACAAACAACAACATTTCATTCAGTAACAGTGCGCCATCCATCTTTAATTTCCAGGACATATTGCTTATCACATATTGATTGACTTCAGCCATTTCACGAAAATAAAGATATAAAACATACATTTTAGTTTATGTGGGAATGCCTAATAGTGAGTCAGTTATTTGCACAGATCAGGGACATCTACCTGATATAAGCTTTTTTTTGGGGGGGAGGGGCTCTGATCCCATACATTTATATATTTATTATTGGTATTTATATAGCATCAACAAGTGCACATTCACATCAATCCCTGTTCTCAAGGAGCTTACAATCTAAGGTCCCTATTGTACATGCAAACAGGGCCAATTTATATAGGAGCCAAATAACCTTCCAGCATGTCTTTGGAGTGTGGGAGGGAACCGGAGTAAACGGAGGAAACCTACTCATGCCCAGGGAGAACATTCAAACTCCTTACAGATAGTGTCCATGAGTTTATGCTTTGGTAAAATTGTAATAAGATTAGTGCAGTCAAACACAGCAGAACTGTGGCTCTGTTTGGATTTTAAAAACAACACATGTCCAATCATTTAAAATATGCACTCTTCTAGTACTCCTAGGAAGCACAGATCTTTGGATAGTGAATATTGGGAAAGGTAAATGTGCAAGAAACTCAGTAACTGATGACCAGAAAATGTAAATTTGTGCTCAGCTCCAATTTATGTGGAAGAAATCAGCATTAACCAAGCATTCACTAAAACAATGAAATCACTGCACCACCGCTCATCCAATCAGAGAACGCCTAGTATTCATTGACACAAATACTAAGCATTTTCTGAATGGCCATTGCACCAAGCAAGCTGTGCTAGAACCAACCTAAATCAATGGTGGAGCCTTCAACACCATATGTCAACCACATATAATGCCGTCTTAACATCTCTACCCTAGCGATTTAACAATATTTCACACCTTCAGCCACATAACTTGAGCAATTAACACATGTCTCAGATCTCATTTTGGCTTGATTATGCAGATAGGCATATAGTGGATTTAACAAACTTTTACACCTTCCATCATGTGCTCCATCAATTACCATCTACTGTGACACATTCCCACGGTGTTTGGGTTAAAGTGACTTACCATTGTGGCAGTAAATGCTGGGGTATGTTTTTGACACTCATTAGAACTGAAGAAACTGCTTTAACCACATCAGTACCAGCCTGTTAAACCCTCTTCATTACCAGGCCTTTTTTCAGTGCTGACTAAGAATGACCTTATCACACAACACTGCGCCCAAATTAATTTTATATAATTTTTTGAGACAGATAGAGTTTTCTTTTGGTGGTATTTTATAACTGCTGTTTTTTTATTTTTTGCAATAAAAAGAAAAAAGAGCAAATGACCTGAAAAGAAATACTGTTTCCCTTACTTTCTGTTATAATATATTGCAAATAAAAATGCAAGGACAGTACAACCCCAATAACCCCTTTTTGGAAAGTAGACACTCCAAGGTGATCTGATTTTTTGCCAAAAGTTTTTTGAAATGAAGAAACATGCTTGTATTCAGGGGGTTGAACATGGAGCATGGTAAAGGTGCACTAAATACATAAAATGTACAGGTCATACACAGAGGTTGGCAGAGATGAAGTGGTTAATGTACAGGTCACATACAGCGGAAGGATGGAGATGTAATTACAAAACAGCTTTTGCTGTATTTTTTGCTGTTACAGTCTTATCTAAAACCTGCTAAACTAATATTCAACTTTTACTAAAGGCAAATTGACGTTCACTTAAGTTCGCTTTGCAAAGAATACCCAATCACGTGCAAGGAGAAAAAAAACTGTATTTTTGCCTGAATATTATTAGATAATGGAAGTCAACAAGGCTTCATCTCATTCACTAAGCTGTGTAAAATTCCCTTGCAAAGTGCAAATTCCTTTGCAAAGTGAACAGCCTATTTGCTTTTAGTAAATTAAAACCCCTGAATGCCTACTACACTTGTTAAGTCAAGCCCACATAGATTACACTGATGCCTGGAATTCCTCTAGGCAGTGTCTATGTAACCTTAGCTTCACAGGTTCAAATCCCTGCTAAAATAATCTGACATAGTTTACATTGTAAAAGAAAACCAGCCAGCCATAATGTTGTCTTGTCTTGTACTTCTTTGAAGATTTAGTGTAGATGGTGCATTTGTTTTTGATACAAACAGAACTAGAATCAATCTTATGCTACTGTTCTAGCTGAAATTATATTGATATATAATTCTTTTTTACAATTAATACAATTTAAATTTCTTAGATCTATGGCTGCAAGGTAGACAGTATAGACAAGCTGGTGCTTCCCATAGAAACAACTAAGCTTCTTGCTTTCAGTTTAAAATCAATGTTAGAAAAACAAAACTACAATCTGAAATTTTTTGTACTATTTCTTTGATATGTTTTGATGAACGCCAACATTCTTATTGCAGTGAGTCTAACTCTTTGGGGATCCCCCCAAAAAGTGATCAATGTGCATAATAAATAAATAAATGCAGATTACACCCAGGAGGTCCTAAATAAAATTACCTCACTGCTTGTTGATTAAGTAAAAGGATATGATTTATGACTATTGGATGCAAGTGGATATGAAGGAAAACTGAAATCCAGCATGCCCCTAGTCCCAAACTCAGATCTCCTAGAAGACTCCAGCCTTTCCAACTACCAGAAACCCCTCAAATCTTAACTCATAATATAAGCTCCTGCCTATGGGTGTTCATAATTCATGAACAGGCAAACAAAATGGTGGAACCCCACACCATTTCTTCTTTTTTATGGGCCACCCCTTACAATCCATTCAATCCCATCACAGGCTGGTCAAGTCCCCTGCTAGTGTGCCAAGCTAAATGTACGCAGTGTAATTTGGATTTCATTAAGCTAATTTGTGTGTATCCCATACAAATTGAACACAGCAGCTGGGTGTACCACTATCACCATAGCACAGGTCCATTTGAACATAAGTCCCCTGCTGTGACAAGACTTAACTGCAGGTCTCCTTCCAAACAGGGCTGTACTGTGTAGCAAAGGTGTGTAGATCTCAAGCCTGGGTTAACTGATATACAAATCCTGTGTCATAAAAACAACTCTCATATATGTATTTCATCTGTGAATTTAGCTGTTTGTCTGAAGTCCATTTTTAAGGTAAACTGTTAGTTCCATATAACTAATGTAAAACCTTTGGCTGATGTTGTAAGTGCTGATGGAAAATAGCTATGTGTTGTTATTGTATGTTATGCCTAATGTACTGTTTTTATATTTTACTCAAACCCATCAAAGAGATCATGCAAAAAGGAAAACAAACTGTAAACAGAGAAACACCATTAACTGCCTCAGATAACCAATTAATATATGAGCTGTTAAAATTATTGTAATAAAATGATGATTTCATTACAATATATTAAACAGCTTTTGTAGTAATTGATTATTTTAATTTTTGTAAGTGAAACCAGAAAAACATGACTTTTAACTCTTCAACTGACATAGAATAAGCATGCCTATCTGTTTGATTAGATTTAGGCTATAGCCCTGCATTTGCAGCACATTAAAATTTATAAGGGCTAAACAGCTGGTCACTGGCATAATAAATAATGAAACAACTACATCATGCCAATGCTTAATAAGAAATATTACACCCTATTGCTTCATTACACTTTGCAAATATTTAATTTTCTAATTAATGCAATTCATAATACAAAACCACTTAGAAGAAGCAAAAAGAGAAAAGAAAAACCTTAGGTGAATGAAATGTATACCCTCTGAAATGTAAAACATTGACATCAATACATAATTGAATCATACAGTTACGGAGTTGAAAGTGTGCAATTATTCTTTCAATCTCAATCCGCTTTGGGACCAGACTGTAAGGGCTTTTCTTTTTTCCTTGCCATTAATGTGCATTACTGGAAGCAATAGCTTCTCCCTAAAGTCTACGGAAAGGCAAAAGAAAGGATCAAACAGCTTGCAAATTGACCCATTATTCCTCTTCCAGCAGTGTTACAGCTAAAAGCGTTTTAAGTGAATGAAGCCGCCTTTTGCCATTAAACAGTGCATTAGGTAATTTGTGTAGGGTTTTAAAACAAACAATAGAAAAATTACCAAAAATAATGTATACTTTGACAAGTTCGGTATTTGAGTGCTAAGGCAGATTTTTTTAAAGTTGAAAACTATTACACAATGCTGCAGAACTGGTAAAAAACAAAAGACCCAAGCCAATAATATAATGACAGTAAAAGAGAAAGTAGGAAGACTAACCATTATAATATGTAAATAGCAATATCAGTGTCACTGGCTATTTAATGCCTACATTTTCACTAGTCACAGATTCCCCTTTGCAGGCTGTGTAATAATGAGAATTTGTCTAGCTGTCTTGGGGGTCTATTCACGAAGCAGCCGAAGGATCTAGCCGTAGCTTCGGCCGATCCTTCGGCTAGCTTCGGCCCCAGGAACCCTTCGGTTCAGTAGAACCGAAGGGCTGCTGTACGGACTATTCACTATAGCCCGTACAGCTCCCGAACGTGGCCGAGCGGTTCAGTCGAGCCGAACGCATATGCCTCCGCTCGGCTGAGCCGCGCTGAAAGCTGAAGTTGGCCGAGTGGCCGGCCATTGGCCGGCCAACAGCCTGCTTCTGACAGCTGGGCAGAGCCAGCCGTGATCTTACGGCTGGCTCCGGCCACTTACAGAGAGATCAGCGTCCCAGGTTAACAGCTAACCAGGGACAGTGATCTCCAAACAGCCTAACTCTCCCTGGCGCTCCGGGAGTCTCCCGCTCCCAGCCGCCAAGGAGAGAAACACTGCTTTTTCTTTTAAATCTGACACGGAGCCGTGTCAGAATAGAAAAAAATAATAATTTGGGCCATAGGAATGCATTGCTAGATTCCTATTGGCTATTTCAATTTGCAATAGCCAATAGCAAACTAGCATTGCACCCACCCTCTGCTGCAGTTCTCCATCAGGTCCACAACTACTGATTAACAGCAGCAGAGGGCGGGAACAATAGCTAGTTTGCTATTGGCTGTTGCAAATTGAAATACCAACCTGAAGTAAATAGCCGAACAGCGTTCAGTTCACTTCGCTTTAGGTCGGTCATTCACTCGGCTGCCTACGGCAGCTTAGTGAATAGACCCCATAGTGTAAACTTATAGTTTAAATATGTTTGTATTAGGGTTATAAAGTAGCTGTATAAAGGAGTACTAGCTATTATGTCATAATATAAAATATTGCAATGGTTATTATTGCTACCACAACTCTTGTGTTTTTTTCTGTTGTACTGACTCCTGCACGACTTCTTTCAGCACTCGCTTGCTGTGGTGGTGGTTAGGGTGGGAGGGCTTACAATTTACACTGGGGCACTGAGATCTGACATGCTGAAAAAGACTGTTTAGCTACTGAGGACAGAGTAGTTAGCTAGAAAATAAATGTTGAAGGTTAATTCTCAGCACTAAAGCCCCCTCTTCCTTGACAACTTCTGTCCAACACTCTGGTCCCTAGTAGTGTACCAACTATACTCATAGCTCTCTTGCTACCTGTCATTGATTTAGACATACTTTAGGTTCGGGGAGGTCACCGGGGGGCCCACATCACAATTTCCCTATGGGGCACCATATACTATAGTTAAGCACCTGTTAATAATGCTGACATTTGTGTTAAGTAGAAGATCTTTAATATTGCTTATAGTGATGAAAAACAGTTAATGAAGCAAGTCATGTAATTATTTGCTTACCTCTTCAAATTTTAGTGCAATCATTGAAAATGCTTTAAAAATTGCATCTGTTGGTCCTGTTATTGTTACAATTCTTTCTGGGCAGGACCCTTCTGATATGTTGATTCGTGCACCACTCTGTAATACAAAGGAAAATTAAAATCTATTATTACGTTTTTAGTATGAAAACCGAATCCATCTGAAAGTTGAATATCAGCTTAACCAAAAAGGAAAGTTTCCACACAAGACATGGCTTTATTTAGCATTAAACGTCCTTTGCAATTCAGCAGCCTGGCAGACAGGTTTTTCCCAATCCAATATGAATGTGACATCAGGTGAGCCTGTTTTAGAAACAGGGCTGCTTGTTGCCTTAGCTTTCTCCATATATTCCTAAGTGAAAATACTAGGTTACCATAAGTTCCTGTGAGACACTTTTGCCCTACTGGGCATACATCCTTTTTTTTACCTTTGCTTTCAATTTCAACACATAAAGTTTTGGGTGTCATAGAATATTACAAGCTTTAATGCCACTCCCAAACAGGTGAATACAGCTACAGTTTATTGATTGAAGATTCTTACCTCCTTTGGTAAATTAACCCCATTGCAACTACTGTATATTGTTACAATGATTCTTTTTAGTGCAGAATAAGGACATTTAATTTCCAGCAAATCTGCAATTGTGAAAACAGTTTTAAATAATAGTTGTTTCCATTTACCCCTCAGAACCCCTAATTATCCTAGTCAGTTTTATTTAACTTCTTTCTTCCCCTTCTTCATTTCTCTGTTATTTCTTAAACCAGAGAATAACATTTTAGCTTTTGATAACTTATAAGCTACCTTAATTACCAGATGGTAGAACAAGTTCTAGCTATATAATGTTGTCAATTTGGCTGTGCATTGACATGCTATTTATTATTTTATTTATTTATTACAGGTATTTATAAGACTAAGGCTTCATTCACACTACGTGTGAATGTGCGTTGAGATTCCTGCAGCAGGAACCTATGAATTCCTGTGGCAGGAGTCCCAAATATGGCATTTAGAAGTGGCCACTGTCATCAGTTCAAGTTAATTACTGCGGGATAATGGCCGCATATGAAAGTGTCAGTCCTCTGGCACTCTGCATATAATCATATGTAGTACAAACACATGCAGTTAGGAAGAGATCACTGTTCCTGGACACACAGTAGATGCATATGGGGACAGTGATCAATTACTCAAATGACCTGAGGATAGTGGCCTGTCATTGCATGACAACAAATGGGTGGAGCCAGCTGTGATGTCACGGCTGACTGCACCTATTTGTTGTCATTCGATCGCCACCTGTCAAAAATGTATTCTGTGGCGGCAGTTCGTTGCGTGTGGTCGGGTTTCTTTTTATTTTGACAATTCAGCGGCATTGTGGACATCGCTGGACGACGTGATTGACTTTGGATTACCTCGTTGGATAATTTTAATTTTTTTTTTTTATTAGGAATAGTCAAAAACTTTGGTCTGGTGTGTTTATTCACATTTTAATTTAACCCTTTAGTGAATGAGTACCAGTACCCCTTACTTATTCACAGGGGGGGCAGCATCTGGGTGCCCCCTTTATGAAAGGTAGTACCTTGATTCAAATATGCCCCCCTGCCCGCAGAAACCCACAACCACCGGGTCAGGGTTGTGGGGAAGAGGCCCTTGTCTCCATCAGCATGGGGACAAGGTGCTTTTCCAGGGGGGACCTTCCCAGTGGCGAGGGCGTGTGGCCTGGTATAGCGCAAGGAGGATGCGGTGCTCACTCATTCCCCCCCTTTCCTGCCTTGCCAGGCCAGTGCTCGGATTAAGGGTCTGGTTTGGAATTTTAGGTGGGACCCCACTTTTTTTGTTTTCCATTTTTGGGCAGTGGGGTCCCTCCTAACATTCCTGATAGACCTAAAGCTTGCAAACCCCAAAGGCCAGCCCTGGACAAGATATTTGCAAACTATGGTGTCTTCTTTCCCCCTGGTATGCTATAGTCATGGGAAGAGTTCTGTTAACTCTCAATCCTTTACTGGCAAATGTTAATGTCAATCCAGAGGCTGGAGTTCAGACAGCAGTCCCCATTACTGGAAAGAAAAGCAGGTTGGAGGTACATAAAGCTAGGATGAATGGATGATACATCACCCATTAACTAGGTGTCTCACTACCTCCAACATTCTATTTAATGCAATGTGTTGTAAGGCAATGGAGCTGAATTTACATTGAAGACTGATAGCAAGGGTTTGGGAGTGGAGGCGGGGTGGATTCCTATGTGGACAACCTGTTCATTTCAACAAATCCATTAAATTTCCTAACTCTCACCTTTGCCTATGAATCATGAAATTGCAATAAAAATAAGAGGAAAGTATACTTGATGATTGAAGTTCCCTTACCCTCAAGAAACTGTAACTGATTCTAAATGAGAAATTAAAGGTAGCACTATAGAACTATGCATGTGGATGTAATGTGTAGTGTTTGTGTAAAGAAATAAGACATTGTGATCATTTTGTCCTACATAGCTATGCAAGGAGTGTTTCTTCCATTTCTTTACATCCTCTGCTTAAATAATTAAAAAGGTATTTAACAGCCCATCTTGTTTCTATTCACATTAAAATAAAACCAGTAGATTGGAGGCCTTCTCTTTTAGAATGCTGTTTTCCAAAAAAAATAATTACCCTTGTGGAGCTTTTTAAGCCATTACACTTGATGTACTTTCTGCAGGTTTTATAATTGAAACTAGTAATGTTTTCCTTGCGGCCACTTGTTTTTTTTTTCCTTACTCTGATTACAACGAATTTGATTAAATATAAACTAACTTGTTCAAATTGCAATTTACTTTGTGAAGACACTTTTTGATTATTCCATTATTAGACACAGGCCATTATTGCCTCCATGGGAAACAGACTTCATGTGAATTACAGAGCAACAGCCATTTAACGCTCTACAGGTTTGGATGGTGGCACACCAAAGAAAATCATGTGCTGGGAAAATGAGACTTATATACTGTAGAAAACAACACAAATTTGACTACAGTCTTTTTAAAAGAAACCCTTACTAATAAAAGTACAAAGGATGTCATTGCTGACCTCCTGACAAATCTGCATTATTCTGCTTAAGAGACTTAGGGGTCTATTCACTAAGCTGATCCTTCGGCTAGCTTCGGCCCCCGGACCCCTTCGGTTCAGTAGAACCGAAGGGCTGCTGTACGTGCTATTCACTATAGCCCGTACAGTTGGCCGAGCGGCTCAGTCGAGCCGAAGGCATATGCCTCGGCTCGACTGAGCCGAGGTGAAAGCCGAAGCTGGCCGAACGGCCGGCCATTGGCTGGCTGACAGCCTGCTTCTGACAGCTGTCATCTTACGGCTGGCTCCAGCCACTTGCAGAGAGATCTGTCATTACACACTAAAAACCCGGCGGGGCAGCTATGATATCATAACGGCCTCTCCGGGTTCTCAGTGTGTAATGACAGATGGCATCCCTGGTTACCTGGTAACCAGGGACGCTATCTGTCATTACTCTCCCGGAAGTCAAATATGGCTCCCGGCCACCCAGGAGAGAGACACTTTCTCTGAGAAAGGTTTACTCTGCTCGATCGAGCAGAGTAAACCTTTCCTTGCGATCTGTTTTTTTTCTGACATGGGGCCGCTGGCCGCCCTCAGTCCGAAAAAAAAGAAAAGCCATCATAGGAATGCATAGCTAGATTCCTATTGGCTATTTCACTTTGCAATAGCTATTGCACCCGCTAGCACTAACTAGCTATTGCACCTGCCCACTGCTGCTGTCAATCAGCAGAGGGGGACCTGCAGTTTGCTATTGGCTATTGCAAAGTGAAATAGCCAATAGGAATCTAGCTATGCATTCCTATGGTGGATTTTTTATTTTATTTTGACGGCAGCAGAACCGCCCAGCCAATAGAAAACAGTTGGGCGGAGCTAGCTGTCACTGCTAGCTCCGCTAAATCGTTTTCTATTTTATTTTTTCTATTTTTTAAACTGTTTTTCTATTCTGCTCGGTACCACAGAGGTACGGGGCAGAATAGCCGAGCTGAATGCCGCACGGCGGGATTCAGCTATTCACTCATTGCTGTTCGCCATCTATGAGAATAGGCCAAACAGCAGCGAGTAGCCTGCCGGAGGTTCGGCTCAGCCGATCCAAATGTTGGATCTGCTGAGTCATACTCCTTCTGCACTTCGGGTCGGCCGAACATGCTGAGCATGTTCGG